CTAGCCGGGAGGCTCCACCCATCCATTGAGACATGGATTGGCATAATCACATGATGTAAGCAGAGCCTGGCATAATCAACCTGAACCTCCTATATATCCCCCTGGAAATTCATACATGAATGTAAACTTATGTTTAAGACCTGCCACTTTTAGAAGTGATGATGTGAAAATAAAAAAAATATATATTTCTTTGCTTCAGGGAGATGCTGCTAAATGGGCTTATCAACTTATTGAGTCTTTTGATCCTTGCTTCTCCTCATTTGAATTATTCCTACAGGAAATTAATAAATCGTATGAAGATTCAAATAAAAGTGATACCGCTGAAACTTTATTGCACTCTTTAACCCAAGGCAGAAACAATGTGGAAGAATATGTTTCTCAATTTCGTAGATTAGCCGCAGATACTTCATGGAATGAAGCAGCCTTAAAGTACCAATATAGATTGGGGTTGTCTGAAAATCTTTGAGATGAACTTGCAAGGACTGGTATTCCTAGCACTTTAAGGGACTTAACTGAACTCACTATTCAATTAGACAGGAGGTTTAGAGAAAGAAGAAAAGAAAAAAAAAATCCTTTCTCTAATTCTTCCAGACAATCCTTGTTACGGTTGCCTCCTGGCTGGCTGGAAGTTGGACCGTAGAAAGGATGCTCCTAGTGCTCACCAAAGGACCATCAGCACTGTAGACACCATAACTACTGCATAGACACCATAAGTACTGCAGACTCCACGAACCGCCGCTGCTTGGCTAGGATCTCACCGTCTTCTCCCACCCTGGACCTACGACCGGGCTCTAGGTTCCAGTAGGTGAACCTCTTCCTTCTGTAGAGCGAAGCAGGATCAGGAACAGGAGCTTTTACAAGAGCTCAGTAGCTAAGGGAGTATGAAGAGCATACCAATCCCAGTAGTGATTATAGTTGTCCCCTACAAACATGAGTCAAGGCTGCAAGTTAGAGGGTCAAGACATTCTGTTTATTGGCACCCAAAGGGATTTCTTTTATGCAGGTTTCCCTTAGATAGGACCACCCACAGGGTTTTACCGAACAGCCAATAACACACGTACATTACAGAAAACACTCCCAGCAATTACATACAAAATCATCCCATCTGCCTGTGATATAATTATGGTACACAATACTTAACATAATTATCACAGGCAAGAAAAATACAGTTTTTACACATACACTGTAACTTTAAAACCACACATCCAATCTTCAGAAAAATTACATATTGTTAATCAGCACACCAAAAATCAGACAGTGGATAAAAAGTTAGACGGAAGTCCTTTATAACTGAACGCAAGCACATTTTCCTGCCCAAAACAGTTCCATAAATTTGGGCTGTGCGGTCGGTCTATTTTATGCCAAAAAATGACTAAGTCCCATTCGAACGTGCATTCAAATTATCTTAGTCTCTGCAGCTGCAAATTCAGTGTAGGAGAAGGTACAGGTCAGCAGTGCTCGTTGAAATGTGTAGCCGATTTTAGTTCCATGAATTTGGCTACACATACCGCTGACCTCGTTCGAATGAACAAAGATGGCTGCTGCCACGTGTTGGTTTGCACAAACTGCGGCCACCCAGGGGTCGGCAATTTACCTATAGCAGGCTCCCAGCCTGGGAAGTAAATTGCCTGCACACTTCCATTTCTGGGTGGTCCGCCTGTGTGGTACTTGGTTCAGTAAGCCCCATTTACTGAACCAAGTGGGAGAAAGTCAGGGACAAGTTATTTTACAGGTCTGGGGGAATAGTCTTAAAGGGGCATTGTTCACCAAAGTCACCATATGTCCCCAAACGGTTCTTAAAGGGCCATACACACCCAATAAAAGTCCATAAGTTTTCAGGGGCACAATCTCCCAGGGGCCATAGTCATGCGGAAGGAGGCTGGCAAATAGGCTTCTCCACAACCCAGGGAAGCAGGGCAATTTGTCATTTAAAGGGCCAGTTACAAATGGCAGTTTGTAACAGTCCTCTTAAACAACACCCCATTTAGACAATTCTCCTAACGCCCTCAAAAAACAAAGCCATGGAAATTGGATACATTAGAGGTCCTTTAGCTGAAGCCAAAAGAAACAGAAGAAGAACCTTGAATTTATGCATGTACTGTGCATCACCTTCTCATCTATTACCAAACTGCCCCATTTCTAAATGGAACAAGACGGTTAAAACCCCTTCTACGCACTGTTCTACAGTTTCTAATAAAGAAGGTAATTGTTTTACAACTATATCTATTTCTCTAAATGGTACAAAGGTAGAAATTATTGCAGTTATTGAATCTGGTGCCTTTGGTTGTTAATTAAATCAAAAAATTGTTGATACATACAATATTCCTGTCCATCAAAAGAAAAGACCTTCACAAATCATTGTTTTTGATGGCTATGTCTCAAACTTAGGTGATATACATTCCCAAACTCTCCCTCTTAAAATGACTATTAATAATAATCACCTCAAAGAGATCACTTTTGACATTGTTAATACTTCTATATTTGATACTGTATTGGGCCTCCCTTGGCTGAAAAAACACAATCCATCAATCAATTGTTCCTTAAATACCTTTATCTTTAATTCGGAATACTGTACTTCCACCTGTATGAAATACTTTCAAATTGGTTCTATGTCCTCTATAATACCTAATTATTACATGGAATTCAGTGATGTCTTTAGTGGCACAAAAGCTTCTAAACTCCCTCCTTCAAGACTCTACGACTGCCCTATTGACCTCATAGAGGGTTCTAATATTCCTTACAGTCATATTTATCCCTTATCCGAGCCTGAACTTAAAGTATCAAAAGACTACTTGGATAATAATCTCAAAAAAAGGGTTTTAGCTGGAGCTAGAATATTTTTTGTGACTAATAAAGACTGAACAATCCGTCCTATTATTGATTACCGTAAATTGAACAAGATAACTATTAAGAATCGATATCCTATCCCTCTAATACCTGAGATTCTAGAAAAGATAAAATATGCCAAATGGTTTACCAAATTAGATCTTAGAGGAGCTTATAATCTTCTTCGAATTCGAACAGGGGATGAATGGAACACTGCTTTCCGTACAAGATATGGACACTTTGAATATTTGGTCGTGTCATTTGGGCTCTGTAATGCCCCTGCCTCTTTCCAGAATTTCATACATGACATCTTTAACCCCTTAAGGACACATGACATGTGTGACATGTCATGATTCCCTTTTATTCCAGACGTTTGGTCCTTAAGGGGTTAAAGATTTTCTAGATCAATTCATCGTAATTTATTTTGGATGATATTCTAATGTCAAAAAGGTCCTCAATAGACTTAGGACACATAAATTATTTGCAAAACCTGAGAAATGTGTTTTTGATAAGAATACGATCCCCTTTTTGGGATACATCATCTCAGATTCTTCTACAAACATGGATTCAAGGATTTATTGATTTTTCAAATTTCTATAGAAGGTTCATTAAGAATTTTTCAACTATTGTATCACCATTGATACGTCTTACTAAACAAGATTGTCCTTTTAAATAGGGAGAAAAAGAAAATATAGCTTTTAATACTTTAAAAGAAAGCTTCATTTGCACTCCTATACTGAAACAACCAGACCCTTTTCTCCAATATGTTTTAGAGGTAGACGCTTCAGACATTGCTGTTGGATTGATTCTCTCTCAAAGAAAAGATCCCTCCTCTCCTTTACACCCTGTTGCCTACTTATCACAGAAACTCACCCCATCAGAAAGGAATTACAGCATTGGGGAAAAGGAATTACTCTCAATCAAATTAATTCTTTTACTCTCAATTCAATTAATTCTCCACTTTCCATTTTTCATTATGATTACTGTTATTATCAGCATTATCATAGTCTCATTTAGGCTATTGCCGTTTGCTATTTAAGTTCAGACTGATGCCAAAAAATGTTTTATGCTATTTCTCAAGTTTGGTATAACCTCCATTATGTTTTGTTTTTGTCCATATACAGGTTACATGCTATGCCTTTCTGGTTATGTATCATTGTGACGAAGTGTCCTTCGCCACTTGTGCCTTAAGAGGACTAATTGCCAGCCTCTTGCCATGTGACTATGGTCCCTGGGAGACTTTGCCAGTTAAAAACACTATTTGAACCTATTGGTGTTTAAAAGACTGTTCTGGCCCTTTAAATTAAACTGGCTGCTTTGTCCCTCATCAACCCCTCATCAGCCCTTACTAAACTTAAACCCCATGGCGATTTGACTGTGTTTGTGGGATCTGAGCGCTGTTTGAATATATTAAGCGCTCAGAACCAAGCTATCTGGGGAATGTGGGGGTTCTGTTCAGTATGATAGGAATTATGTATTTTTGCTGTTGTTGTGAATAGAGATATTTTCCCTATGCTGGAGATAATTGGCTTACCACATCCAAGCCATGCTTGCAGTCGGTCAAATAGGACTTCCATCTATTTTTTGAACCACTGGACCAATTTGTATGATTTTGGCATATGTTTGTATTTGGAGAATGCTGAAAAAAAATGTAAGTTTTATGTGAATGTGATGTATACTTTTAAAGTTATGAATATTGTGTAAAACTGTATATTTTCCTGTCTGTGATAATTACGTTAGCCCATTGTGTTCAGTAATTAATTCTGGGATATTCCAGTGGGAGTATCCCTCTCGTGCAGCAGTGCATCATGGGGGAAATGTCCAGGTTGTTAAGTTCACCATGTAGTCCCCTTCTGTACAACCCCTGTAATGTCAGTAGGGAAACCCCTTGCATGGGGACTTGCATAAATACTGTGACCTGCGATTAAAAGTTCAGTTGACTCCCAGAACTGTGTTTCGTCCGGTTACTGGGGGATTTGGGATATTGCCTGCTTTTCCAGTGCCTTACTTTGGATTACCTTCTATACCAACGGAGATCTTGGGATGTAATATTGCAGCTCCGCTACACCAGGCTTCTTGGTTCTGTCACAAATTTAACTGTTTAGTCCCTCTTACCACTCCTTCATCACACGCACTATACTGGGAGGCGAGCAGAAGGACAAGCGGGGCTGACCATTAATTCACGGGCAAAGTGCGGGCGAGCTATGACTTTAATGCTGGGGTATGCCATTTTCACTACACACAGGGTATCACACATCCGCTTCATCTGCTCCAGAACTCACACCTAGTCCACATATACAGCCCATCTGTCACCCAAGACACGCCTAACTAGGTCAACATTGACATCCTGGTATACTATCTGGATTTACACCCAGCTGGGCATATGGTAGATTCTGATGCTGGGATTCTCACAGAGTTCTCACACGGGCCTTGGCGCCAACCCCACATGTTCACTCGTATGCCCTAACCTATTACCTACATCTATTGAACCACTTACGGTGGACCACCTTCTGTCCACAACAATCATATACCGGTTTCACGTTTGACCCTTTCCGGTCTTCATGTTTTTCTTATCTGGGTGTACCACTCCCATCAGGGTATGTAACGGCTACCCAGCTAGAGTGAGGGTATCAGCCGTTGGGGACATCCTTTTCTTCCCGGCAAGTCTCTGTGTAGTGATGGAGCTGCCTTTCCCCTCTGCTGGATCCGAAGTAGAAGTCAGGTACAGCTCTGAAAAGAGCTTAGTGATTATGCTGCAAAATTCCCCTTTCAAGAACGAGACAAAGCTACGTTTTGAAGGGTCAAGAAGAACTAAAGCTTTAATGACAGACACTCTTTTATGTGATTCTGCCCATGCAAGGGAGACACCCACATAATTAACAGTACAGCCAATAAACACAATATACATCCTGTACATCTCCTCCCCTTAGATAACCACATAACATAATTAAAAAGAACATGTTTTTAACCAAAGTTTGGATGTACCCCAAATACTTGGGGTACAGGCATAAATCCGGTGTCCCGGATAGCTTGTTTCTGGGGGACTAATATATCCAAAAATCAGCTCATTCGGTTCAGCCGTTCGGGAGATATGGGACTTGGAAGTTTTGACCGACCGCACGGGCAAAATAGCTGAAAACAGTTCCACGAATCCTGGCCCTGCAGTCGGTCTTAGTTCCTGCGTAAAAAGTCCCGAACGGCTGGCCATCCGTATGTAATCTTGCGTTCGCTGGAATCCCCATAAACTGTTAAGTCTTTCTACCGAACGTCCTGCCGTTCGGTAGTTGTAGCACGATTTCCCGAAGGTATGGAGGTCTCAGCGGTGTTCGCCTATTCGAGTGTCCGATTTTTAGTTCCAGACACTCGACTGCAAAACACCGCTGTTCGGGAGTTAAAATGGCCGCGAACACGTGGAAGTCCCGAAATGGCAGCCATTCATACGGTTCATATAGCGTTCGTGCGTTTATTTTCACGAGAATTCCCATAAAGCAGGGAGGTAAATGCGTCCCAATTTAGAGTCAGGGTGGCCTGTTATTTAGTAGCAAGCATTCATATGGGGAATGCTTGTAATGTCCCGAACTGAATATTAATCCACACTTTTCATATGCTGGTTAAACTGTCCTCTTTGTTACAGGGTAGCCATTAAAAGTACCCAAATGCGTTTGATCATAGACCTCTTTTTACCGCCCTCTGCAGAAACCCTCTGCTGGCCGCTCCTAGATATATTCAGGTGTCCATCAGTCATCCACGTTCTGGATGAATTTTTGTTGATTTCAGGGTTCACCACCACAGCCCCCCCTTTTTCAGTCGGTCCCTCTTACAGGCGGTCCATCTTCCAGGCTTGCTTTCTGAGGCATAGTATTGGACTCCACTACTTTCCAAGCCAGCCTCCCAGATGTTCTGTTCTGCATTAGGAATGGATTTGTCCTGCTTTTGCAGAGTGTTGCATACAATTGGAGGGTACCAACCCCTGCCCACCCATTTGGCCGATCCAGCCAGGGCAGTTTTACACAATTGTAGTAGTTTTTCAGCTGCATGGATTGGGATCTCTTCGGTCATTCCCCCACTTTCAAACACTCACTTTCAATTCACACAGATGCACCAGCACACACAGGGTTTGCAGCCTTTTTCGGCAACCACTCATTAAGGATGCCTAGCCCACTGAGTCGGATGCCTTGCCGACCTTTGGAGAGACCTCTACTTTGTTGGAGAGCTACCCTTTTGTTGTGGCCTCCCTCACTCTGGGTCATCTTTGGACCAGAAAGGCAGTTGTATGCTGCTCTGACGATTCCGTAGCCTGTGTAAGAATATTAAATAGTTAACTTGTTCATATGTATTTTATGCATTTATAAGGTTTATAAATATTATTGCTGACTGAAAGGATATGAAATAGTTAAACTCAATTTACGACATAATATGCTGACTGTGACAGACTAAAGTATTTCTTCTATAGGATGTAAGACAATGCTAAATCTCAGGATGTCTTGCCCATTCCGATTTCAGGATATTCTTCCCCAGACGTATGCAAAAGCTTATCTTTCCATTGTCAGAATAACATGTAATATAAGGAAGTAATAAATCTTATAGTCTGTACTGTATTTGCATATACCATGGCTTATGTAAGCAAACTATGTATAAAAGCCAGCTCTGGAATACACTCATTTGAGAGTCTTGTCAACTATCCTGTTGTCCGTGTCTTATTGCTGACAATGATTCTCCATCAACATTGATTATGGTGACCGAGGGATCGAGAACCGAGGGGATTAGAGTCCATTACAGCATTAACCCTTTCAGCCTGTGATTTCATTAGCAAGGGCAGTCATACTCACCGCCACTGTGGCTGATTCGCAGGCTGATTTGGCAGGCAGCAACCCCTCAGTTCTTTCTGGTCTACATTTACATTCCACTTTAGCATGCTCTCATTTTAAGGTCTTCTTTCAGGCACTCCCTATGATCCACTACATATCATCCAGGATACCACCATTCCATGAGCTAATCTTGGACTAAGCACACAATTACACGACGTACAGGTGTGCTCGCTTCAAGCTGTTTCATGACTACTCTATCACTCACGCCAGGGCCTTGTATATTGTACATGTCACAATTAGTTTGCTTGAATAAAGACTTTTGCAGTTAAATATGGTTATTTTTTGCCTTTTTCTCCAAACTTACAAATCAAGCATCTTTCTTAAACCTCCTATGCTGTCACTCAGCTTTACGTCTCCAAGGTCAACCACACACTATCAGTCCTAATCCACTACTTCAAGTCTAAACCTTCCATTGAGGTGGAGCTACATCATGGCTTCCTTCGCCAGCCTCTCTGTCACAAAGCGCTGCATCAGCAGCTTCAAGCTCTTACACCACAGTCTACATCACTGTTGGGGCAATCCTCAGCGCAGTTACATATATACCTCAATCAGAGTAAAAGCTCCTCACAAGGTTTCAGTACCCATGCTGTATAAACTTGCATAAGGTGTGTTTTCTTTGAATCCTCTTTTGCCCTCTTTTACAGGCCTACTCGTACGTTGGTTTCGGCACACCTCAACCAACTTTGCTTCTCCTTCTACATCCCATTACATAATAAATAAATTCCGAGCACAAATACAGATGCGTCTGATACTGTGTAATAATATATGTATTTATACCAGATGTTGATATACTACTTGCTATGTGAATTGTTGTATGTCTTATTGGTAGGGGTCAGTGAACATGGTGTTGCAAAATGCAAGTGCACTGGAGATCTGCCGAGTGCCCTATAGGTGGCAGTGTAGTTCGATGCTGATTGGTATGTGAAATGTTGTTTGTCTGTTGACCTATAGGGGTCAGTGTCAATGTACTTGACAGACCTGTAGATGGCAGTGTTGATAGAACCACTGTTGGTCTTGATGTGAAATGTAGATTATTGTGAATTAAACCTGAAGTTGAGCACATGCTGGAGTTTAAGTTATGGTTTATGGTTATGTTTAAAACAATCTTATGTGTAATTTGTATTGGCTGGTAAATTGTATATGACATGTGAAGACAGTTTTGCTGTTGACCAGTAGGGGTCAGAAATGCAGATTGTATGGTAAAAATACCCTTTAGTCCAAATGCAAGGTTAACGTGAGATTTTGAGAGTGACCTGTATGGGTCAGTGTGGTTTATGTGAAACATTGTTCGTGAGCTATGCTCCCAGCATTATAGTTGTATTACAGGGAAACGAACAGTGCCCGCTTGACAATATACAATATGTGAACATACTAGCTTAATAACAGTCATTGTAACAAACCAAAGTTCTGTTCGTAGGTTGTAAATGCACGAAACGTGTGTGTAGTACAATAGTAAATGCATGAAATAGTTCCTTTTTGGTAGAAAATTGCACGAACCGTGAGCCTGGTATGTCAGGGAAACAAAACAAAACGAGCAGTGAGATTCGAAATGCACGCACAGAATTGCCTAGTATGCAGGGGCGTACCTAGAGCATTTGGCACCCGGGACGGATCCTGTGCTTGGCACCCCCCACCCAAAAAAAAAACCTGTAAAAAATGTTAAAGGTTTTCTTTCTTTTTTTTTTTACAATTTGTAAACTTTGCAAAGCCACTGTCAGCCCCTCCTACAAAACCCTTGTCCTGCCCCGCCCCTCTTACAAAATCTCTGTCCTGCCCCTTCTACAAATCCTGTACTGCCCCGTCTACAAAACCCCCGCAACCCCCTTCCACAAATCCCCTGCTTATCCCCCCTTATAAATACTCCTTTCCCAATACAAAACCCTGCCCCCTTCTACAAAATCCCTGCAGCCCCACACACACATTTACAGGCAGACAGTCACACACTCAGTTACAGGCAGACAGTCACACACAGTCACAGGCAGACAGTCACACATACACATTTCCTCCGTGCGGCCAGTTTATCAGCTGTTTGCTTGTGTGAGCTGTACTGGCACCCTAACTACCATGGGACACTGTGCGGCCACAGCTCACACAGCCCCCTCCAGCCAGGGCCGGTGCAAGGATTTTTGCCGCCCTAGGCAAAAGTAAAGTTTGCCGCCCCCCCCATGTGACATCACAATGCCCCACCCATATGATTTGCCATGTTAACTAACACCAGTGCTGCAGTGTTTACATTAAAAGGCCTGCAGGGACAGGCTATAGACACCAGAACCACTACATTAAGCTGAAGTGGTTCTGGGGACTATAGTGTTTCTTTAATGTGAGGTAAATTAGAGCTTAGTGCCACAAATAATATACTAGATTGCCTACTTAAAACCAGATGAGGATGATGATGGGCTCTAGCTGCAGTCTGGCTTCACTGGTCTGGTGCAGAACAGGATCTCTGGAGGCTCCATTTTTGGGGGTCCTTTACACAGCTCAAGGTCTGGGTCCCAGGGTCCACCTTCATGTTCCACCAATGAGTTTGTTCACAGGGGGTGGAGTGTGTAGGGGATGTCCTGATATGTGTGTAAGGAATGCATTGTGTGAAATTGTGTTTGTATGTGTAAGTGCTGCAAGGTGTGTTTCTGTGTATGTATGGGATGCATTGAATGTGTGTAAGGGGTGCATTGAGTTTGTGTAATGAATGCATTGTGTGTTTCTGTGTGTGTAAGGGATGCATTGTGTGTAACGGTTGCATTGCTTGTGTATGTGTGTCTGTGTGTGTAATGCATTGTGTGTTTTTCTGTGTGCAAGGGGTGCATTGTGTGTATGTGATGAATGTCAATCTCTCCTCCCGCTCCAATTTCCTTCTCCTCCTCCCAATTTCTCTTTCTCACCCCCCCTCCTAATTTCTCTTAATTTCTCTTTCCCCCTCCTAATATCTCTTCCCCCTCCTAATTTCCTCCCCCCCTCCTAATTTCAATTTCTCTCCCCCCTAATTTCTCTTTCTCCCCCCCCTAATTTCTCTCCCCCTTTCCTAATTTCTCTTTCCCCCTCCTAATATCTCTTCCCCCTCCTAATTTCAATTTCTCTCCCCCCCTCCTAATTTCTCTCCCCTAATTTCTCTTTCCCCCCTCCTAATATCTCTCCCCCCCTCCTAATTTCTCTCTCCCCACCTCCTTTCTCTCCCCCTCTCCTTTCTCTTTCTCACCCTCCTCTCTTTCTCACCTTCCTCTCTTTCTCACCCCCTCCTTTCTCTCTCACCCCCCCTCCCTTTCTCTCTACCCTTTCTCTTTCTCCCCCCTTCTCCTTTCTCTTTCTCACCCTCCTTTCTCCCCCTCCTTTCTCTCCCCCCTTTCTCTCTTTCTCTTTCTCACCCCCTTCCTTTCTCCTCTTTCTCTTTCTCACCCCCCCTTCCTTTCTCCTCTTTCTCACCCCCCTTCCTTTCTCTTTCTCCCTCTCCCCTCCCTTTGCTGTAGCGTGGCCGAGCCCTGTATAGTCCGCGGGTACAGGGAGCATCTGTTTCCTGTACCCCGGCCGGACTAACAGGAAGTGCACACAGAGTGTTAGTCCGGCCGGGTACTGGAGACAGCTGCTCCCTGTACCCGCCAACTATACAGGACTAGGCCACACTACTACAGAGGGAGTGACAGGAGGGAGCACTGAGCACTTCCCTCCTGTCAGCCCCTCTCCTCAGGTTGCGCCCGGGCGGTGCGGTCCGCCCTCATGGACGCACCGCCCGGGCAAAGCTGCAGCCGCCTGAGGCTCTCTATAGAGCGCTCGGGCGGCTGCAGCATGGGGGGGGCAGCGCCCCTGATCATGGCATCCCCCATCCTGGTGGCACCCGGGGCGGACCGCCCCCCCCCTTAGTACGCCACTTCTAGTATGTTTAGCCAATTGAAACAGAATGTGTTCCCGTTCTGGAGTATGCTAATGCTCGAAATGAGCCAGTAACAGATATAAACAAGTGAGTTTAAACAAATGAAATGTGTGAACATGCAATGGTTTTAGAACAGACTTAAACAAAATGCAGCTGTAAAGTGAGGACCTGACCCTTGCATGGTGCCGTGGGACTGATAACGGGTAGGTCGACTTACAGTTTGTGAGTCACTTGGACACCATCCACGGCGATTGATTGAAGAAAGAGGGTGGTAGGTCGGAAAAGCCTGTGGCTGGATTCCTGACACAGCTCAGCTTAGAAAACCTAATGGAGAAATCAGGTAAAATGGCGTCTGGAGGACCCAGAAGTGGAAATCATTCTGATGCTGACCTCAAGCAATATGGAGTCAGGTAAGGAGTTGTCCCTTATATTGGGGAGTGAATTAATTTAAGCCCCTCCCACTAATACAGGCCAAACGGCCTTAATACATATGTATATATTAATATAAAAAAAAAATTGGAAAGAAATAATATATGTATATAGATATATACATATATTATTTCTTTCTAAATGTTTTTTTATGAATATGAAAAACTTCCCTTCTCTTTTAGTGGTCCCTCACTTAATGTTCCTCTCTCCCGCCGCTAGTGTACCCTCCCTCTGTTTAACACGACAGTGCCCCCTACACGCAGAGTGTAATT